CCCAAGACAATGTAAACACTGTCATAAATTTATGGACATATTACCAATAATTGTCCGAATAAGGAGTTAAATGCAAATCGTGGCAAGCCAGTGCATCAAAACGCTGATGAATTGCCGAAAAATTGCGTAAACTGTAATGGTAACCACTCAGATACCTCGCGCACGTGCCCGAAATACATTTAAGAAAAGTGTTTCATAAAAATATCCTTTGAAATCCTTGAAAATAAGTTTAGTAGATGTAAAAAAGAATATAAAAAGTTACTACTAAAACGTTAGTACCATCACTCCCGAAACCCTTGGGTACTTTCAGCAACGCAGTTCAACAAAACCCTCCTTAGAATGTACAATTGATCTCACATAAAAACTAGAGTCGCCAACTTAACAGTAGATATCATTCCTGACATAAAACCTTGCTGCAGTTTACACACAAAAAAATATAAGCCTCCCAATCACTAAAAAACCCACTCCCTCAACCTAAACAAAAAAATAGAGCAGAAGCAAACCAAAACACCTCCCACACATAAGCAAAACAAAGACACTAATCCCTATCCTATTAACGACACTAATACATTTCCAATAGTAGAGCTACTACTACTTAGAAACCAATCCCCAAGCCCACTGGGAGCGACCCCAACCCCGATCAATTGATCAAATACTGAAGTAGAACATTAATTGGTTCGGACTCGTCAAGAAGATTTGAAGAACTTAGAGATTTGAAACTTAAAATATTTTGCTTTCAGGAAACACATTTCAAAGACAATCATAAAATTACTTTTAAAATTTTCAAATATTTAGAAAAGACGTTTCCAACTCTATAGCATTTGGGAGCGTAGCAATATTTGTGGACTCGTCCCTTAATTCTGAAATAATTCAACTAAATACAAATTTGCAGTTCGTTGCTCTTTCACTTCAGACCCCTTTCAAATGCACAATCTTTTCAATAATATTTACTCCATAATCAACATATAAACACAGAAGATATTGAAGACCAACGTTCGCAATTACCACAGCCTGCACTAATTGTTGGAGACTTTAATGCCCATAATACGGCATGTGGATCGTCATCCTCAAGTTCACGTGAAAATATATTTGAACGAATCAGAAGTGATCACAACCTAATTTTGTCAAACGATTCAATCTGCACGCATATGTGTGGTGCGACTGGCACCTTTCCAAATTTAAACTTGTCCTTTATTAGCACCACTTTTTCGATTTTTTAACTGGTCTGTGCCCGAAAACTACTAATGAAGTGACCATACCCCTATCATTAATCCAAAAACAACGTTGAAAACCTTCCTTGAGGATATACCTAGATAGGCGATTCAAAATGTCAATTGGAACCTATTCAAGAATAAACTTACCCTCCCAGCAGTAGACCCTCCTGCTGATGTTGAATTGAAAATCTTACCAATACTCGATAATCGCGGCAGCAAATCAATCTATCTGGAGATCAACTTGTCTAAGCCCCCGCCCATCTGTACCTCGGTGGAATGAAGACTGCAAAACATCACTAATAATTAGAAGACCTAAGGCAATTTAAAAGATCACCCACGGAAGAAAATTTAATAAATTATAAACGACAAAAAGCAAAAGCAAAGTGGATGACCAAAGAATCGCACCGAACCTCAGGGGCGAAGTTTACTGAGCCTTATTCAAGCACCGCCTACCAAGGTCTGGTTGAGGTCCGTTCATGGCAGAAACCCTCCCAGCCAGATTGTTGGACTGTCTGTAAATAACAAAAACCTGACTGACCCTACGGACACTAATGAGTTGAGTAACAGTTTTTCTTCAAATTCGGATGCCAACCAATACTATGAAGTTCAGTATTCACAATGAAGGAGTTAGAATACACTATATCAAATGTCTCTGGGTTTTCTCCAGGGCCCGATGATATCCACGACACCAGGGTTTCTCAAACTTTTCAGCCAGCGGACCCCTTTCACAGAACAATATCCAGTGCGAACCCCTCTCATTTAAGTATTTAAAATAGGTATTTATAGTATGGTAGCCAATTTCAAAAGTAATAATTTGAAGCAATTATAAATGATTAACGAATTAATTGGAAGAGTGTGGTTGTTTTAGCTTGCTCAATTTGTTGGGTTTAACTTTTGATAGCTGGAGACGGATATCGGGTTCAGCATCTAGACAGCTTCAGTATTTAGTTTTGGTGGCTGTGTAGAAAGAAAATCCGGATTCGCATAGGTAAGTTGCAGCAAATGGAAGAACGTTAATAGTTTACCCCCTTTTTTAATGAGGGGTTGAATTTTTTTATTTTCCAGACGGAGCCAAAAATGAGGGCGGCAAACTCGAAAGTATATTCACTTGAACATAGACTGGTTGACTTTGTCGAAACTGAAATCGGTTTGACCTCCCATTGTTTTGAAGCATTGTATCTTGAGCTGTTGAAAAGTAATGCTCGAAGGAAATCTCCAAACTTCCAAGGTGTTCACATATTTCACCAATCTACGTGCCGTGCCGTTCACAAGCTTCAATTTCTTTTCTTTTAAAAAATCATTTAACACATGAAAACACTCTACTTCATACTTCTCAACAGAATCGACCCAATTACCTTTAATCGCATTTTCGAAATACAATGACTTTTTATACATAACATTGGAAAAATCCAGGGTGTACCATTAGCAGCAGTTCCCGGTAATGAAGTACCTTAGCATTAACAATGACTAGGAAACCGATCGACCGACCAATCTAGTCCCGTCCGTCTCACTTACCTCACCTATTTTGCTTATGTGTGCCAAACTAAACATAGAATAAATAAATAAAAATAATAGTCTTTCATTTTGACACCTAGACCTTTCTTTCCTTTCCTCGGACAATTGATCCACCTGGAGGCGTGAATCGTAAATACAGTATATGAATGGGGTTTCAGGGGTAGAATATAAATTTCAACACCAATTTCAAGGATAAACGATCTTTTCGATGGCGAATTGGCAATTATTACTTCAGATCATACCCACTTGTAAATGAAATCCCCCAAGGCTGTGCTCTTAGCCCCACCTTATTTATAATACCAACTAACGACATCGTTAACACTGATAGCGAATATGTGAAGTGGGCACTTTATGTGGATGATGAAGCACTCTTTGTAGCCCACAAAACGATTAAAGGAGAAGAACATGAGTTACAAAACTCTCTCCATACCATAGAAAAACGGTTTAAAAGTACAGGATTTTTAGTTTCCCCCAAAAAGTCCAACACTATTATCTTATACTAGGCAAATAGTATACATAGAACCAAGACTTTTCTACGCGGGACAAGACTGAATAAAAAATGCAAGCGAATAAAAGACGATGATAACCTAGTAGCTGATTGCGTACATAATAATAATAAAAATCTCCGGGCTAAAATGACCTAGACGTCGGAAGCCCCAGTCCAAAAAAAAAAAAAAAATAAAATAAAATAAATAAAAATCTCCATCCTGGAATCTTTTATCATTTCACCTCATTCCTGCATCTTGTTTCAATCATTATATTAGTCAAACATAAAATTGTTCATATGCGCTTTATAATTTAACTTTCAATGTTGCTTCAGAACAATGCCAACTTTAGCAATTTTGTTTAAGGTGAGGTTAGGGCGGGCGTAATGTTGTTCCTGCTCGGTTTTTGCCGTGTATTGGCAACACTGATTTATTTGGCGCCAATCTAAACTCTCTATCATAAACTTACGAGATTTCCGCTAACCTTTTAAATTTGTCTTGCTCTAAGACAATATTAGGCCACAAAGGTTTTAGGCTTCAAGCGAGGTAAAGGTAAAAATCGTATGGAATTATAAGGAATCCCTGGCAGAAGACAGTGACACCAATGGCCTGACGTGGCATGGGTGGGCATTCGCGACATACAGGCAATGAGCAAGTGGGCATATTGGACAAAAAAGGAGCCTACATGAATTTTATAGTTCTCCTTTTGTCATATAGTTGTCCTTATGCCAGGAAAAATAATGCATAAAAAATGGAGATGGCATCAATACCCCCAATGCATGAGGCACGCGAAGAGATTCATAGAAGGGCCATCCGCAAGACTTACAAAGGTATTACTGAAAGGTAGCGGGAACAGAAACAGGATTCTGGTTGGAATCCGGACAGGGCACTAAGAAGGCACATGAACCGGATAGGAGTACCAACAGAAGAACACTGTGCAGATATTGCCAGATGGAAGAGGAAACTTCAGTACACGTTTTATATTTTTGTGAGGTCTATGTAGGTGTAGATTCTTGCAACTAGGAGAGGAAAAGCTGCAGTATTCTACACTAACGAGCCGCTAGCAAGGCTATGGAGGATGACAACTGACAACTGAGACAACTATGGATGACAAGCTGAAGCTGGCCAGTTGTAAAAATAGATGAACATCACACAGCTACTTAGGTCGAGGTGCAGAAGGCCTCATGGCCACCTCTTGTTTTTTCATGACAACATGGTCAGACATACAAGCGTTTTCCGTTTTAAGCTAAACAATTAGAACGTAGGATGTAAAGTTGACAAATTGAACTTTGTCCAGGCTCATTAGAAAATCCGGTCCGAAAAACATTAGACTTAAGAGACTTTGGAGATAACAACCTCAAAATATTGTTCATGAATAATATTTTTTCTCTTTTTTCTTGCGATAAATTTAATCGTCATATTAAATCGGTCTGAGTCCGAAAAAAGATTAAAAAAGCCTTTGATTCTTTACAAAGAAAAACACTCTTTCACTAATTATTGACTTCTTAACTTGGTCAGTTGCCGATAAAAAAGTGGACCTTATCGAATTCTTGTACAATGGCTAGAAAGGTTAATCAATGGTAGTTATCTAAAATGTAAAACAATAACGAAATTATTATTTCCGCTGGAATGTGGAGTCATCACTAAGAAATGCTTTCATTGTACAATAAAAGACATTTTCTTTTTATTCCAGAAATAAATTGTTACAGCTGTAAGTTATCACTAATTAGCAACAATATACAAAATATATACATATGTTTTGATCATTAGAGATTTTTTTTTTTACCATTTTCTTCTTTGTCAAAATGAATTGTGTTCAGCCTTCCTCTCTTCCCATAAGCAATTTCTGCTTCTGTGCTAGGTTTTTCGTCCAGAAAATACACTTGATTCGATATAAGCTCGGCCATTGCAATGTCTCCAGGTCGGACTCGTATCTGGACAGATTTTGATAGTAGAAAAAAATGAGCTGTAGAAGTCGTGAACTATTCAAAAACCTTGTTTTGTATATATTTTTATAAATTATTCAAGTAATTCGCCACCCTTAGCAAATGAACTTACATTTATGTACATAAAATGGTCAGAATTTTTTATAATATATATATATCCGCGCTGCAAATAAACTATATTTATTACACTTACAGGCAAAACATTTCACCCATTTGATTTTTTTTCCATTTTCTCGATAAAAGATAAATTTGTTTCATTATTTTTACCAATAAACATTTGTTTATGCTATGTTTTAACTGGGAATATCAATTAGAGGTAAACACACTTAATTCTTAATCCAACAAGGATAAATGATTTTTCAATGTTTAGTTTTTACGGAATTTAAAATGTTTATACAGTCTCATTTGAATTCTGAAGCAATAAATCGTTTAGTTTTCATCTTTGTTTTATTAATTTCAATTTTTAAACTTAAAATTGCCACTTAGTGCTGAGGATGTCGCGCGTGATGACTAACGTTCCATGAGGTATGCGACTATTGTCATCGGAGTTCCCTACGAAACACTGCGAGACGCCGCTACACGTTTTCGAGAAAGTGGGTCCTACCATCGAAGGCCCGGTTCTGGACGCCCTAGGGTAACAGAACCGTACAATGACCGTTTTTCGATGTCGATAATTTTGCGAAACCGGCAACTTACTGTCGTTCAAGCGATTCATCAGCACCAGGAAGTTCGAGGTGTCCAAATATCTAAACACACTCGAAGATTAAATCAGTATGGGGTGATGGTTTTCCGCCCCGTAAGAGGACCAGAATTGACCAGAACAAACAGAGTTGCACGGCTTGCATTTGCTAGAGAGCACAGCCATTGGTCTTTGGACTATTGGTCTGCTGTACGTTTTTCAGATAAGTATATTTTCTGTACAATATAAGATGGGCGTGAAATAGTGTGGAGAAGTAGAAATGAAAGGTATGAAGCCTGTAATTTTTCCCAGAGCCAACTTTTCAAAGTGGCTCAGTGATGGTGTCGTCGGGAATTTCAATGGAGAGTCGCACAGAGTTGGTTGTTGTTTATTGGAGGACTTTGACGACACTCGCTATGTGGATGAAATTTTGGAACATCACACATGTCCACATGTCGCTCGCATTGTACAAACATACCTTCAACATCATAACATCAGGGTCTTAGCCTGGCCAGCCCGTTCTCCAGACATGAACCCTTCGAACATTTATGGGATAACCTCACCTCCAAAGACGAACACGTCCATCACTTCCTGATACACTCCACGATCTTGAAAGGACCCTTCGTGAAGAATGACCTAACCTCTAGCAAAGAGACGTTTCCAGACTGGTAGAACGTATGCCGAGGCGTCTTCGAGATGTAATTAAGGCAAGAGGAGGAAATACGCGGTATTGAAATGTTAATTAAACATCTAAAACAAAATTATAACAAATTTTATCCGTCCGCCTTTTTTTATTTTTCATTCTCCTTAGCAATTTACATTATATTTTTTTTAAAACAAAGACTCAATTATTAAACGTTAAAAACCGTGAAACTTTGAATAATTTATAAAAATATATACAAAACAAGTTATATTACAATTGGTGGAATTTTTTGCCCGTCAGTGTATATTATCAATGTTATCATATACACCACTGATTGTGAGTTAAAGGTGCCATGTAAATTCGAAATTATTGTACCTTTAATACTCTTAGAATTATATAAAAACAAAAAATAAATCAATAGAAAAGTCAATGTAACTTAAACAATGTAAATAAAATTAGAAATATTAACGTAGCAATAATAAATGAAATGTGAACCACTAAAATGAACCAACTCACAGGGGAATCATTAGTTTTATCACATATTTATTTTTAAACTAGTAAAAACTGAATACCTAAAGATAAAAATAAATAAGCAGTTGAGAACGGTAATTAATTTATTTAAAATAATATTTAGCTTCTTGTTCCAGAGAGATTACATGTACAGTCGAACTTCCCATACGCGGACGCCACTAAAGAATGGGACTTATGAATTTTGATTTTTTTTTTGTCTCTAGAAGGGAATACAAATAAAAATATTGTTAGGTCCACCAAGTGAAAACAAAAAATGAATTGAAATCGATCGAATATACGTATGTTCATGGACACGAATGTCCTGTGGACCTGTTAGACTCCTCTTACAGAAAGAATCCTTTTGTCCGCATTCATCTCTGGATCGGTTTTTCAAATCACAAACTGAGAATTTACTAACTGACTGAGAACTAATTGAAATGAGAAGTGTTTAACTGATCTGAGAACTGAACTGGGAACTAACTACTTGAACTAAGAACTGAATGACTGAACTGGAAACCGTATAATTGAACTGGCTGACTTAACTGACTAACTGAACTGAGAACAGTCTAACTGAACTGAGACCTGATTAACTGAACTGGCTAAATGAAATGAAAATCGGCTAACAACTGAGAAATGACTAACTAAACTGAAAAGTGTCTAACTGATCTGAGAACTGAACTGGGAACTGGCTAATTGAACTAAGGACTGAATAATAGAACTAGGAACTGTCTAAGTAAACTGAATAACTGAGCTTGCCTAACCGAACAGACTAACTGTCTGTCTGATCTGAGAACTGAACTGGAAACCCTATAATTGGTCTGAAAACTGACTAACTGAACTGAGAACTTACTAACTAAACTGGGATCTGTCTAACTAAATTGGCTAACTGAACGGCGAACTGTCTGAGCTGGAAGCTGTCTAACAGAATTGATAAAATGTTTAACTGATCTGAGAACTGAACTGGGAACTGGCTAATTGAACTAAGGACTGAATAATAGAACTAGGAACTGTCTAAGTAAACTGAATAACTGAGCTTGCCTAACCGAACAGACTAACTGTCTGTCTGATCTGAGAACTGAACTGGAAACCCTATAATTGGTCTGAAAACTGACTAACTGAACTGAGAACTTACTAACTAAACTGGGATCTGTCTAACTAAATTGGCTAACTGAACGGCGAACTGTCTGAGCTGGAAGCTGTCTAACAGAATTGATCAAATGTTTAACTGATCTGAGAACTGAACTGGGAACTTACTAATTCAACTTAGAACTGACTAACTGGACTGAGAATTGTTTAACTGAACTGGGAACTTACTAATTCAACTTAGAACTGACTAACTGGACTGAAAATTGTTTAACTGAACTGGGAACTGTGTAATTGATCTGAGATCTGACTAACAGAACGGATCACTTCCTGTTAAGCGCTGAAGGCGTTGAAAAGGGTTGTGCGAGATGTGAAAATTCCCGTAATATTACATAGACCTTAGAAAATCCTGAAATATTTTTCCGCTTATGAACAATTTTTTATTGAAAAAATCTGTAAACATTGTGTCCGTTTATTAGAATGTTCCGTTATTAAAAGTACTTTTGTTAGTAGTAGTAAATGGAAAAATTTTTCACTCTTTTTTTTTAGATGTGTGGTGTTACCACTACCAGTACGGTGTGGAGTGTGCAATATTTCTCTAGCCGTCAAATTCGTTGCAAAGTTCACAAAGAAATCGGATGCGAGAGAATTATCGTATTTTTAATAGGACTTCTATGCACCACTTCGATCTTGATGTCTTTTCCTCCGAGATTTTATGAGAGCAATTACTGGCCTGAACTAAAGACAACCTCCTTGTTGACTATAGGTGTTCGAACAAATAATAAATAATGAACAAACAAATAAATACATTGAAGATTCCCCGGAATTCAAATTCACTATCGAAAGAAGCAAAAATTTGAAATTGAATCTCATGTGAAAAAGGAAGAGAAAATGTTAACGTGTGAACAGCGAACCAAATGAACCTTGTGTGGTCAGTTTAATGTGACCGACAAGACGTACGATAAAAAGTAGAGGGTAAACCAAGCTATGTAAGTATCCACTAAGGGAAGTTCGACTGTATTAAAGTCAGTACTAATCAACTTCAGGATTTCGTGCTAATTTTACTTGCATCTGTCAAGTGGTTACGTGTTACAACTGCGAAAAAGTGCATACATTAGATTTTAACATTTAGTTCAAAATGTAAAACTTCCTGCAAAACATGCATTCATTCGTTACACGCGGTTTAATTTATAAATACTAAACCTCTCTTGCAAATGGAGACATTTTTATCAAATTCGGTACAATCATGTAAGGAAATATTTTGAAATTCGCCCGGTGGGCTTGATTCCACCAGCAGCCAGACAACCCCCTGGATTTTCCCCCCATTCTGGACTTCAGTAACGGGCATGTCAGCAATTATTGTTAACAAAACTGTAAGCTCAGCAACATTTGAGAAGGGATTAGCACAATGGCATGTCTTCAAAGGAAATGAAGGAAATTATTTCATAAAGGTTTTTTTCTAGGAGGGCAAACACACAGGCACACCGCTACCTCAAATAAAAAACTTAATTTTTTTAAAATTAAAACATCCTTGAAACCCGTAGCGAGGGGTAGTTTTGGACGTCAAATTCACCCAAGGCCTTAATAAACTTCACTTTTTAAGACCATAGTCATTCCCATACTAAAATTAATAATAAATTATGCTACTAAAATGTTTTTATTTACCATCTTGCAAAAGGCATTTTTCAAAAATGAACCCCTTCAAACCTAGGAAGATTTTTGTAAAATTATGCACCATCAAAATTGATGTGATAAAAATCAAACGACCCATTAGGAAAAATAATATATAGAATTTTATCTATCGCTAACTTTGCAGAGCAGTCACATTTTTAGCGATATATCCGTCGCTGATTCGTCAATTTAACGCTACGGCTTTCGCTTTTTTCCCCACAAGACGTTCGATAACAGCAGCCGACCGCAACAAAACGAAACAATTTCTCACCAATCGATTTTACGATTCGGTCGGATGTTATAAATATTCGGACAATTCGGAACATTTCCGAAACAGTTCAAGAAAAAACTTTTTTTGACACAATACAAATAAAAAAGGGGACCGCGGTAGCCGAGTGGTTG